AGACTCCAGTTTCTCCATCACTGACAACTCACTAGAGTACCTGAATTCCTGCTGTATTGAGTAGATCACTACTGATGTGGTACCCAAAGATGTACCATTGACTGGGAGCATACTGTATAGGGGCCAATGGTGCCTGGTGCCTTGGTATGCCCAGTACCAACGGTGCAAAACAGAGAGGTACCAATGGCAGAGCTGTGTCAGAGGGTACCAGTCTGCAGAAGTGCTTATCCTCGCACCCCTTGTCCCTCATAGACAGTGATGGGGCCCTGTCAGAGCTATGTTCTTCTTTAGAGCTCTGGGACTTTCCAGCCTCGCCAGTACTGGAGGAAGTGTTATGAGAGAACAGGACTTGACATAACTGTAGCCATCTTGTGTATTCAGCCACCATTCCTTTGAAGTGAGACCACCACGTAGTCAGGAATAATTTGGTCTTTGCCAAAGCAAGCAGACAAAACAGCTGCACAGCTGCAGTGTTGCTAATAAGGACTGATAAAGTGACAGATTCATGAGAATGGGAGAGGATGTGAATAGCTGACCTTGGATCTGTGATCATGAGGTTTTTTTGCTGGAAATTGTTTTGCTGATAAGTAGAATTATGAGTTCTTTGTTGTTACTAGGGAAATTGTTAGCCCACTAGAGGTTACTGTAAGTTATGTGCTTTGTATTGAGCAATCTATAAAAAGATTACTTAGAGTGTACAGTGTGGAGAAGTTTGGAGAGAGATTATGACGAGCTAAGAGACTGACATCCAACTTCCCAGTGGCTAGGACGAAGGTGGGCCACCAGAAACCTGCTGCTGACCACTCATCACCATCTTAGTCTTTGGGTAACTATATCTGGGGTGCTCTAGACTATTGTTATTTTAGATGTGTGCTTGGGACTCAATAAAAACAAGGATTTTTGGGTGAAAGCACTCTTGTGTGTACCAATCATGTAGCACACTGAGAAGCTGTGTCCCCATTGAATTATGTCCTGAAGCCGCTTGGAAAACAAAGACTATTTACCATAGTTTTGGGTTCAGAAAACCCCAGGTAACGGAGGAGTCTTTTGCGTCTATGGTATTGAGTTGAGAGGTTGAGGACTTTTAGGAGCCAGCTCCTTACAATGAGAGTTCAAGCTCCTCTTCTTCAAAGCTTCCCCTGAGGCCTCCATTGTCTTCCTTCTTAGGGGAAACCTGTGGTGAGACTTAAGGGGTTGCTGGTGGATGGAATCTTCTGAGCTGACTCAGAAGCAGGTTGAAAAGAGCACTCCATCACCAGCAGCCTCAATTTAATCTCCCTGTCCCTCCTTGCTTTGGATTTGGGGGCCAGGCAGAAGTTGCACTTCTGGGAGACATCGGACTCTCCCAAGCAATGGACACACCTGTAGTGGCTGTTGTTAACCAGGATAGCCTCTCGACAAGACAGGCAATGTTTGAAACCTGGCAAGCCAGGCATGCTCTGCCAGGAGAGTAAGGCTCCCAGGAGGAAGGGGAGGAAGACGAAAGAAAGTCAATCCTTTCACTATTTAGATCCTTTACAGTTAGTTACATATGACGACAACTAACACAAAACTATAGCTAAAGTGAATAGCCGAGGCATGTTCATGGTAGATGCGCTAAGGCTCCATCTCAGTCCGAGGTGATTCAAAAGGAACTGAGGGCAGTTCACCCACACAGGCCCACCGACAGGGGAGCAGGGCAAAGGAGGCAATTGCCCAGGGGCCTGGGCCATTTTAAAGGGCCTGGGGGGCCCGGCCACCACCACAGTAGCAGCAGCAACCGGGAGCCCTGGGCCCTTTTAAATCACACAGGTGCGCACCCGAGTCCCAGCACCCGCCGTGGGCTGCAGAGTGGCTCTGCTGGGCTGGCCCACGAGGCTCTGTGCACCACGCCGGACAGTGCTGGGGCAGGAGGGGCCCTGGGCAGCCGGAGGGTGAGTCGGGCAGTAGCCCCTGAGCTGTGCCGGGGGGCAGAGCTGACCTGGCTGTGGCAACCATTGCTGCAACTTTGTAACCAGGAGCAAAACTTTCTGCATCCATGTGAGTGAGCCGGGGGGTAGGAGTTGCCGGGCTGGGAACAGAGTGTGGGAGCTAAGCTCAGAGGGTACAGCTGGGGGCAGAGGAACCGGGCTGGGGATGGCTGTAGGGAGCCAGGCTGGGAAAGGAAAAGAGCAGGGTAGGGGGCACAGTGCTAGGCAGGGACAACTTGGGGGGGGGGCGAGGGGGGAGAGGAAAAGAGCTGGGGGCAGACTCAAGATCAGACTCAGGATCCAGCAGCCACTGGTCCAACATCTGCAGCAAAGGCGCTGACAGCACACCGCTGGGCGCTGGCTGGGCTTTGTCTGGGGTCCACCAGGAGGAGAAGAGTGGGTCTTGGAAGGGGGGAGGGGAGGGTGTTTCAGTGACTGCGCGGGGCTGGTGTGTGTGGGGGGGGGGAAGGGGTATTTGAGGCTATTTTGATTTGGGGCTGGGGGCTGTTCTTTGGCTGATCTCATTAGTGGATTATCTCTGGTATTTGGAGATGGTTTGGGGGTGATGGGATGATTGAAGATCGGGGCTGGTAGTTGGGGAGATGTTGCTGTTGGGACTGTTGTAAAGGGAACAGTGATGGGAGTCTCACCAGAGGATTTATTTATGTTCACTCATAATAATCCTGGTGGATGCTCCCTCACTGACCATTTTAAAATCAAGATCTAAAAAAATCTGTTGTGGAAATTATTTTTGGGAAGTTCAGTGGCCTGGGTTATGCAGGAGGTCAGACTCACCCATCTGGCCTCGGAATCTATGAATAAGAATGTAACACTCCAAAAAGAGCTTCAGCTGGTGCATGAGTAACATGTCAAAGAGGGACATACAAGCCTTGGGGGATTATCGTGAGAATTTTCATACATCCACAGCTGTGGGTTTAAAAAACCCAAGAGCGCACAGTCGGTAAATTTAATCATTATTTTGGTCACTGGTTAATGTTGGGACCCTCCGCCTCCCATATATTAGTACTCTGTTTCAGCCAGACTTTCAGTGGGGATTTTCCTTCATGTTCTGGGTGGGAAATTGGCAGAGGGATGGGGATTAGCTGGAACATAAAGTCACAATGAATTTGGCTCAGGGAGATTAAATGACTTGCCTAAGGAAACCCAATGAATCAGTGGCACAGAGATAGAACCCAGAGATAAAACCCAGTGTGCTGCTCTAACCTTTAGGCAACATTATATTAAGTGTTCCCTAAATTAGGCATTTATATTTTTAAAGGAACCTCAGTTTGGCCTCCTTTTCCGATTGTTGCATATGCAAATGATTACGTGTGCAGAATTATATGCCACAAATGTAGAGTGTTGGGGTTCTTTTAGCTGTCGGCTTTAGGAATGGGTCAAACAGCTTGACTGCCTTTTAGTGTATTTATTGTCATGTCTTGGAAGTTCATACTTATTTCTGGGAAGAGTTTTTATACAGAGATGATGGACGATCCTGGGGGTTCAGCAATAGGAGCTCTGTGTTCAATTCTCTGCCCTAGACTTTCTGCCTCCCACGGCTGGAGTGTGCAGTGGGGGCAGTGTAGGGCTGCCTATGATGGCACAATGCAGTGCCCATGGCAAGGGAATTCTCTGGCTGCTTGTGGGCTAGTTTGGGTGGGGCTGGGGGGACAGAATGCCACCTTGGATAAATCAAAATCTCCCTGGGCCTCAATTTCCTAACTGTAAAATGGGGATAATCCTTTTGTTTGTCTTGTCTCTTTAAACTGTATTCTCTGTAGGGCAGGGAACTGTCTCCATGAGCATGTACAGCACCCTGCACAACAGGACTCTGATCTCAGTTGGGACTTATAGGTCCTACTGTAATACAAATCCATAAATAACAACAGCTGTAATGGTTCCCCACTGGGACCTGAGTTATGGTGTTTGCATGCTGAAGTACCTTTGGATACATTCTTAGTCTTTTGACTGGTTGTCTGGAAATACCTTTAAAAAAAAAAGGCAGGTCTCAGCTGGTTACTAGGGCGTCAGGTTACCCCTGGCCTGGTGAAGGAGGGGGAGAGGGAATTTTTCAGTGTTGAGACATTGCACAGCAGATTCCAGACACAGAGCCTTCAGATAGTGACACAGTTAAAGAAAATGCCATTTATTCTGCCTCATCCTCCAAAAGGCCAATGAGAGGAAACTCATTTTGGGATATAATGGGGAAGAGGCTGAGTGGTATCTGAGAAACAAACAAATTCTGAAGCAGCTCTGGAGCTTGCACCAGTCCCAGGTGGATGGGAAAGGCAGCTAGATGGAGACCCATGGGGAAGAGCTGAAAGTTAGGCTCTCTGTGGTTGGCAAATGTGTATTAGAGAAAATGATCCACAGAAACACAGACAGTAGGAGACTGGAAAGAAGCAAAGGTTCTCCTGAGCCCAACGGTAGGAGATGCCGCACCCATCCATTCTAGGGGGCCCACTAACTGTTCTGCCCTGGGGCCCAGAATTGCTGTCAGTGGGCCTGCCCCATATACGCTTGTATGAGGCATAAGGATACACTGGATGCAAGAGCTTGCCAAGCATACACTGCTAACGGAAAATCTCTGATCAAGGGCTCAAGAGGTACATGAGCACCTGACGTGGAGCACCCATAGGGACACTACTCAAAGAAGAGTAAGTTGTCTGATTACAAAGTCTCCTTGGCCCAGAGGCACTGTGTGGTCAGTTCTGCACATGATAAATCCTTTACAAAGGGCGTTCAGTGCCCAGGGGGTTGCTAAATAGTAAAATCTTGAATTGCATTTACTGGAAACACAAATATTTTCAGGAAACCAGCACTCAAAGTTGTGACTCCCAATCTGATTATTTTAAGAGCCCAATCAATGTCCCAATTCAGCCAAGACTCCATGACTTCATTCATATAACATCAATAGGACTTTTGCCGGTTAGAACCCAACATCCATCCCCCAAATTCGTACCATTCTAAATCAACAGATTGGACTGGACTGAAACAAGATGATTGGCTTTAGTGCAATAAATACTACTTTTATCTGGCAGATTTACTTACGAAGTGTTGCTTAAGTTTAGACAAAAACTTCTTCAATATTTTCTCATGATGTTCTTGAAACCGCAAGAGTTTTGGAAAACCAGGAACAAAAAAGCCTAGTAAAAAAAGAGCAAACATGCAGCATGTAACAGGGATAAGTTTCACAAAAAATTATCTACAAGATCTCTAAAGATTTAAAAATGTGTTGGTTTCAATTACACAATTACACTCAAAATAATTTATACAGTACATTTTACTACATTGATGCAAGAATAAGTGTAGGTTTTATTGTTCAAGCTACTGTGGTAAAATCTCAACCATTTTCCTATTGCCTATTTTCAATTTAATAATAGCTATGATGGATACAAGCTGCATCAACTCTGATTTAGTCTGCACCACTGTAAAAGCACATGGCAAACAGCTTTTTTTTTTTTTTTTTAAATGACAGATTCCAAAAAAGGTTAAAAACAGAAATCTGAAGCGTGGTTTTGCCCTCAACAGTGAGCAAAGAAAGGCACCTTCTTAGCAAGTCTGCTCTCCACGTGTATTCACAGGACAGACACAAACCACACAGCTGCCAGAACTTGTGCAGCAGCAAGGTTAAAGAGAATGAGAATATGAGGCAGGGCTCCCCACACAGATGTAGAATTAATAAGGAGAGAGCATAATTTGAAGACCATGGGCTTGTACAGTGAAATTAAGGGCATAGGTAACCTGCAAAAACTTTATTGGCGATATGTCTGAGAATGCAAGCACCCAGATTGAATTTCATTGCTTCAGTTGAGTTTGCAGGGCAGGCAACGAGGGGAAAAAACACATTTCTACTTGTAAACTGAGATAGCTGATATGGAAGTTAGTGAGGCAAGGTGGGTGAGGTAATATCTTGTATTGGATCAACTTCTGTTGGTGAAAGTAGGAAGCTTTTCAACTTATACAGAGCTCTTCTTCCTGGTATTTTTTCAGCAAAGGTAGTCCAATAAAAGAATATTACCTCACCCACCCTGCCTCTCTATTATCCTGAGACCAACATGGCTACAACACTGCAAACAACATGGAAGTTAGTGGCATAATAAACAAGGACCCCAAAATACTATTTTAATGGAACCAGTTTTCAGAATAGAATCAAATTTTAAAACCAAAAGATGCCTTCTGGCCAGTTGCCAATTCAATAATTAAGGACAATATGCAGAGTGACTAAATATTAAGATCTCCTATCTCAGAATCATGGAACGTATGTTAATATAGCGACTCCTCTGTCATATGAAAAAAGGAATGTCGGATGTTACCTACATTCAGCTAAGCAAAATTGTTCTCTTTTTACATAAACTGTGAATCAGTACCTCAAAACTAATTGCACATCATTAATAATATTCAAAGGTACTGCCGCTCTTTCCCTTCATACACCAATTCTTTAGCCTGAATCTGGAAAATAGTTATGGAAATCCTAAGGGAAACAGCTTTCAAAAATCTAAATCATTTTCATGGTCAGCTACCTACATTTTATGATTTGGAGACTGCAGTGTAGATGTACCCTTACAGTCAAATTCATCCCTTGATTTCAGTGGACTTATACCAGGGGTTAGTCGGGTTGTGTATTTTGAGAGACACTTGGTTGCACTGGAAAAACAGCCTGAGTCCCCAGGTCACGGGTGGGGGGCCGATGAAGCAAAGTGCTTTGTTTATTATAGGGAGGAACTTTTTAGCCCTGCTACTCTAGGCAGCACCTTTTTTAATTGCACTATTCAGCCATCACTATCAGCCACTGATTTGAGTTCAATCGTTGAGGGGGCCATTTAGGGATCTGGGGCAAAAATTGGGGGATTGGTCCTGCTTTGAGCAGGGGGTTGGACTAGATGACCTCCTGAGGTCCCTTCCAACCCTGATATTCTATGACTCTATGACTTCAGAGAGTGATGTCTTGATCATGGGCATCTAGTGTGAGAAGAGACAGCTCCCCCCGGTTTAGAATTGAAACACACGCATAGCAACAATTTAGAATTGAAATAGTTTAAGGGCTGCTTTTTTAAAGATGTACACAGGAAGAAATGCAAACAGCAATGTGCATGCACACTTCACGTAAATCAATTTGAAAGTTTACTCTTTAGCATCTTCAGTGTTTACAGTAATGCTTTCACTGCTGTAAATGGATTTTAGGTATATAAACTGAAGTGCATTTGATTATTTGGGGGCGGGGGTATTATTCATTCAAACTATAGTTAAGGTTATATGTTAGCATATCTATAAACACAAACTTCCCCACTGGGGTGTTGTAAGGGTTAGTTAATACTTCTAAAGCACTTAAGACCTTCCATTTGAGAATCTCAAAGTGCTAAGTATTCTATTAATCACATTTTTAGAGATTTTTTAGCCCTGATAGAAAAGAATTTGCTCCAAGCTCAAACTTGTAAAGCAATAATTTGGCCTGGGCGGGAATATTTTAAAACAAATTTCATAAAATTAAATCCAGCCATTTTCATTTTATGCAGGTGATGGTAATGGTTTGTGAGGGGGAGATGGGACACACTTATTTTTATTCTATTCTATTTATTCCAGCCTGCTCATAGCACAATTGTTCATATATGTAAAAATGTGCATGCCCAGCTCTGGCAGTAGTGTTTGTTAGCTACCAGCTCAGTGCAGACAAGCAAAAGGAGCATACACTCATGGCCATGAAAACACACAGCAACCCTCATGGAGCTCCTTCACCATCAGCCAGTTGGGTGCACTTGGGCTCACTGTAGCAGTATGAAATGACCCTGCAAAAGCTAATCGCTTTAGACATTTATTCTATGGGAGTTCCTCAGAGGCGTCATGTTAAGAGCACAAATCCTACGGCAAGAATCTCTCCTGGTAACAGTGTGATGTGCCCAAACACCAACATTTAGAATCTGGAGGACATTCTTTATCCTATTTAATAGTTTATAGAAGACTAGCTTTTGGCCCAAAAGAGCATCCTTGGGGGGTAGTGGTGGGGGAAAGCCTACAGGTGTACAGGGGTCATATGTACTACAGATGGATAAACTAGTTTGGAAAATAATAAGAATAGATTAGTTTAGTTTACATTGGTTTGGAAAAGGTACAGAGAAGGACAACAAAAATGATTAAGGGTATGGAACAGCTTCTGTAGGAGGAGAGATTAAAAAGTCGGTGACTGGGCTCAGAAGAGGCTATGACAGAGGTCTATAAACTGAAAAATGGTGTGGAGACAATGAGTAGGGAAGTGTAATATTACCCTTCACAGGACACAAAAACCAGGGGTCACCCAATGAAATTAATAGTCAGCAAGTAAACACAAATATGAGGAAGTACTTCTTCACACAACACAAGTCAACCTGTGTGACTCATTGCCAGGGGATGTGGTGAAGGTCAAAAGTATAACTGGATTCAAAAAAGACTTAGATACGTTCATGAGGAAAGGTCCAGGACAGTCAGGGCTGCAACCCCATGCTCCAGATGTCCCTAACCCTCGAACTGTCGGAAGCTGGGAGTGGATGACAAGGGATGGCTCACTCAATAATTGCCCTGTTCCATTCATTCCCTCTGAAACATTTGGCACTGGCCACTGTCAGAAGGTAAAGAACACATAGAAAATACTAAAATTTAAAAGTAACAAATAAATTAGAGAGAACACACAATTATATTTAAGTAGCAAAATGGTGGAACGATAGAATTCTGTGTGAGGCAGAGATAAAGCTTGCCAACAGTTTACCCTTAGCTCAGACCATTGTGCCTACCTACAGCATTAGTTTTAACTGAGGATTTCCAGCTTTGCCAGTTGATGTCACAGTCGTTTAACAGGTTTTTTTATATAATTTTCATTATTATTCTATTGCTATATAAATGTCTGCATAACCAAATTTCGACACTGCCAGGCAAAGATAACTGAAGTAACTTCCATGAATATCAGCAATGAAGTCCAGAAACACAGTCCTTAGAATAAATACCTGTAAGTGCAGCATTTAACATAGAATAATAGCTTTATCAGCATTTTACAAGGCTCTGACAAAGTGGCATTTGTAACATTACTGTACAGAACAAATCAGTGGCACTAAGAGCTGAGGCAGAGACACTGGTACACTTAAACAAAGTGACAGCTCTAAGAGAACTTTTGGGTATTTTACCAGAATAAATTACACACACACAAATCTTTTAATGGGACACAAGCAGAATAACATTAGAGGATGGGAAATCTTCATTGATGACTACTCGTAGAATATAACTTATAAAACAATCATATAGGAAATTGCAGATAAGTGTTAACCATATATATTAAGAGATTATTAAGCATCATTTGTACTGCAGGAGCATGCAATAGCCCCACACAAGATAACGGCCCCGCTGTGCTAGGCACCGATCACACACAAATGGATATGGGCCCTGTCTCAAACAATTTATTATCTAATTAGGACACGTTGAAATTTAAATGGTACTGCATGAACTGAAATTCCATACCATGCATAGCATGTTTAGGACCTGAGAGTAGTTTCACCAGGGCCCAGAAGGCATCTTCTTCATTCATGTACATGAGGAGTAAAGCTGTGATCTGGCTCATTCCCTGACAGTATCCAACCTCCTGAAATGTAGAGGACAGGAAACATTAACTTTGTAAACAAGCAAAAGAACTATTTGTGTATTTTTTAACATGAGAAAATACACCATTTTTGGAATAAGCTCTCTAAATATTGCAAACCCACACACCCCTCAAATTTTCATGGTTAAAATTTTCCTTTAAACTCCATTACCATGGCTATTCAAAGACAAAACATATTCTACTAGAAGGGATAATTCACTGTCTTCCAACTGGTGCTTGAACTGGCTTTGGCCTTTCATTAAAATACAGTATATTTGTACACTAAATCCTTTATTTTAAAATGTTTGCATATAATTTATATGAACCTACACCCAGAACAGATGTGTTTTCTATTCTCCATGTGGAGCAGCACAACATATAGCAAGAAGATACTGCAGATACATAAACAAGTGAGACAGAGAAATCTCTCCTCTTATTCAAAAACTGTAGCAATGAAAAACAGGAAACCCCACGAGGCTACTGTACTAATATATTAACTCCTATGGTGGGAACCAGCAATAAGAAACATCAGACTGCTTAAGTAAGGATTATTACTGACTTTACAAAACCAGCTGCTAATGTATATTTGATGAGAAAGAGATAATTATTGAGAAAGTCTTTTAGACAGATGGGTTCGTCGCAAGAACTTTGGCCAAGGAAGCCTTTTAATTTGCTTTAATGCCGAAAGATAAAAAGGAAACTAGCTAAGAAGTCTGAAACAACTGTGATATAAGAGAAAAAAATACAACAAGCCTAAATACTAATCTTTTTCTACTTGTTTAAACACTGCCAATGTTTATACAATATCCATTGATTTTAAACAGCATCTTTCATGTAATATAAATTGTGCTGTGGAAAACAAAAAAAGTCCCTGCTATCAGAGTTTTAACCCTAAACACCATACAATCAAAAATCTAGGGCACCTATTAAATCGCAGAAAACATAATTCTAGAATTAAAAACAGTAATATTAGCTTCTTCTTGCACCAAAAGAGAGAGCTTTCAATCTGGTGAGAGCAAAACTAAAACTTCTTTTAAATAGATATGATGCTGGAAGGGAAGCAAAGTGATATTTAAGAATGATGACCTCTATAATTACTTATAATGAGAATAATCCTGCAAACATTTCTGCATAGACTCAGCTCTACATACGGTCTCATTGACTTAATTAGAACTACTCATGTGTTAAGTTAAACACAATTATAAAAATGTTTGCAGAATGGGGGCATAATGTGTAAGCACAGAAGTGGACATCTGACAACATTTACATTACTTATGTTTTTAACAGGCAACTCAGACTTAGATGCTACAAACCTGGAACATTTCTGGCATATAACATGAGATCTAAAAACCCCATTCGGGAAAGCATCGCCATTCATGATAGGAATGAAAAACTTACCTTACAAGAGAAGACTCAAAGAGCTTGGCTTGTTTAGCCTAACAAAAGAAGGCTGAGGGGAGGAGATATGATTGCTCTCTGCAAATGTCAGTGGGATCAAATAGGAGGGAGGGAGAGGAGTTCTTAGTTAAGCGCCAATGTTGACAAAATAAACTGGCAATCAATATATTTAGGTTTGAAATTAGATGAAGGTTTCTAAACATCCGAGGAGTGAAGTTCTGGAACAGCCTTCCCAGGGAAGTAGTGGGGCCAAAACACCTAACTGGCTTTGAGACTGAACTTGATACATTTATGGAGGCAATGGTATGATGAGACTATCTACAATGGCATATAGCAGTAGTGGGCAACCTGCGGCCCATCAGAGTAATCTGATTGCAGGCCACGAGACATTTTGCGGATGCTGACCGTCCGCAGGCACCGCCCCCCGCAGCTCCCAGTGGCTGCGGTTCTCTGTTCCTGACCAATGGGAGCTGTGGGAAATGGCGCCTGCATGCGAACGTGCTGGCCACTGCTTCAGCAGCGTTTGAACTCAAGCTCCCAACCCTACAACAGCCAGATTGAGCTGGCAACAGTTCAGATCTTTATGCATGTTGAGAAGTATGTTCAGTAACTTTCGCAACATTGTTTAAAAGACCCATATTTTATCTCAAATGTACATGAAACATGACTTACCGTATTATATATTGAATATGCAGCTAAAACATGGAATAAGGATTGTTGCCTGGAGAAACAAGATGGTAAGTAAATGGAAATATTTAACGTTGTTTTTAAAAAAAACAAAAACAAACCAGAAAGCTATTGAATCTACTTTCTAGATATCTGTTTCTCCAATTTGTCTAATTTCAAAAATTTAGAGAAATATATTTCATAATCAAAACAGATGTATTATAATCAAACAATACTTACTACTTATAACGGTTTACATGTTCAAAGTACTTAATAACTAATACATGTAACACCTCTAGGAGATAAGTGGGGAAGATATCAATTTTACAGCTGTGGAAACTGAGGCATAAACTGGGTAAGAGTTACATTTTCAAAGCATCCACTAGTTTTGCATGCCAGTATGGTTGCCAACCCTCCAGGATTTCCCTGGAGTAACCAGGAACTAAAAATTAAACTTTCATTAAAGACTGTCATGTGATGAAACCTCCAGCAATACGTCCAACCAAAACTGGCAACCCTATGTGGCAGATGAGAGACTCCTTGGACCTGATTTTTAGAACTGCTGAACATCAGCAGCTTTTATTCATTTTAGCAGGAGCTACGGGGGTTCAGCCGTTCTGAAACAAAACAGGCCCAATGTGTCTTAAGCTGGGCACTCAAAAATTGAGGCACTCAGAACTAGAGACCATTTCTGAAAATTTAGGCCTAAATGACTTTCCTGAGGTCCCACACACACATGCTTCCTTCACTAATTTCTTTTTGTTAATCTTTAGGCATATACATAAGAAAAATATTCTGACAGTTTTGATTGCTCTTGTTTTAACAATGAAATATTGAATTTGCTTTTTAAACTATTTATATTTTACCCTACATTGCTTTAAATTCTTTTTAGCAGAACAAACTAAGAGCCGGTCTTCATCATGTTTGAGCAATTCTGCTGATCTTTTTCCACAGATTTTAGAACCTGGACCTGGACCAAACTCTCAGAGTGCCCGTGCAGGGGAAGAAGCATCTGAAGAAGTGGGTTTTTTACCCACTAAATCTTATGTCCAAATAAATCAGTTAGTCTTTAAGGTGCCACCGGACTTCTTGTTGTTTCTGAGGTCCCACGAAGCATCAGTGGCAGGACCCAGGAACAACATTTGGGAGACTGACTCCTATTCCTGTGCTTAGTCTTACACAACTTGCTGACTCTCATACATACTTTGAGAAAACTTTGCCCTATTTAAAAATTACTCTCCCTTTTTCTTTCTGTATTACCCCACCACGTTCTAATTACTATTTGTTAATACATTAAAATTGAAAGTGTGAATTCAGCTTCCTCTCCAATTCAGGAATTAAGTAATGTTGAGTGTAGAGCTGTGCAGAACTTTCATAATGAAATCCAAGACTTGATGGAACTGTGTGTAAACTTCAGCAAACAAACTTCAAGGTTTGTTCAGAACTTAGAGTCTGGGAATGTGAGCCAATATCAACCAAAACTTAAAACCATGGAAATGAAACTGCTGAGTTTTGCACAGGTCTAATCAGCTATCCTGCATCCCCAATGCATTCTTCCCTTTCCCCATCACTGAACCAAAACATGTAAATGTCCTTTTACACTTCTGCTGACCGTCAACAAAAAATGTTAAGTTTTCCATTAATGGAGATGGGAGGGAATAATCTGTTAGCCTTGTAGAGCACTTCCCCAGGTCAATTAACAGTGTTTCCTCTGAACATGCTCACTGCATGATTATGTGAGTGGATACCACTTATTTATAAACGTGTACGTGTACGTGTACGTGTACGTGTGTGTGTGTGTGTGTGTGAGAGAGAGAGAGATGGATGGGCAAAAGAATGAAAGTTGGACTTCAGTTTCAACCTTCCTTTAACTGTTGAATGATGATCAATTAGTATGGTACTAGATATTAAATTTGAGTCTTATTTCTTTGAAAGGACAATTTCTGTCTTTCACTTTATTTGGTCTTTGATTGCATTGGGTAATTAACGTATGTTTATTTTCATTTCAAGAAAATTTGCATTAAACCACATATTTCTTAGTCATCCAACACAGACCCACTTCACAAGGAAAAGGGGGCATATTTTAAAGACAATCTGCATTGGAAGATAAACAAAGAGGTGAGTAAAAGGCTTCATTCATATCTACAGGTGGGCTTCATAAACAGATTGTGTTCTGCATTTTAAAATACTGCATCACACTACATTAATTCAGTTTAAGAATTTTAAAACAAAAAAGAGCAGTCAGCTTTCTCTCAAGGTTTAATGTCAATGTATGTATGAAACACTACACTTTCATATGTCAGACGCATGAAAATTAAATTAAGAATACATTAGATTAGAAAATCTTGGTCTAACTTCTCCTGGGGTAAGTGGTCTAGGATTTAACTGAGCAAAGACATCTTTGCTTTTTAAACTATTTATATTTTAACCTACATTGCTTTAAATTCTTTTTAGCAGGACAAACTAAGAGCCGGTCTTCATCATGTTTGAGCAATTCTGCTTATCTTTTTCCACAGATTTTAGAACCTGAACTTGGACCAAACTCTCAGAGTGCCCATGCAGGGGAAGAAGCCACACTAACTTCAGAGCTGCCTTCAGAGAGTACACCTGCAGAGCTTCCTGAAGCTAGGGGAGGTACCTGGAAGTGGGACTCATCTCCCCACGAGAGCGGCCGTGCAGGGGAAGAGGAAGTCCTGTCCCTCCACAGCGTGGCTGTGACCAGAAGCTAGGAGCCCCCACCTGGGGCACTCCAGCAGCACAGAGGAGATCAGACTCACCGCCACGAACCTCCTCTGGCTGCAGGAAGCTCCACGGCTGATGCCTTTGGAATCCAACTCTGAAGGAAGCATAGAAGTAAGGGTGGCAATCCAGCAACCCTCCTACAACAGCCTTGCAAACCCCTCCCCCCCAACCACGATCCCCTTTTGGGTCGGGACCCCCACAGTTACAACACCCTGAAATTTCAATGTAAACTTCTGAAAACATGAAGTTGACTAACTTTAAAATCCTCCTGCTGTGAAACTGACCAAAATGGACCCTGAATTTGGTAGGGCCCTAATTATGAGGTGTCAATAAACTTCGCAGGGACTCGGTGCACAAATCAGATGGCAGGAAGTAGCCAAACAGAAACTAAATGTAAAGGGCACAATACCACTATTATTGTCTAACATTAACTAAGCTTTAACTAATAACATTTTAATACTATTTACCCTAAGCGTTCCCACTAAAGGCCTAAAACAGGATGAACACAAAAACATTCAGAAGAATACAAACTGTTGAAAAGGAAAGCAATTTACTTTCAGGGGAATAAAAACAAACTGGACTTCATTTCTTTAGTGCAGGATATGGTTACTGAACTTTCCCCAAATGCCATAAGTGGCGGCACTGGAAATACACAATGTGGAAATTCCACGTTCTACCACGGATTTAGGGTCACTGCCCAAAATTTTTATTTCTAGACGTCTACAGAATTTAAGGATTTTATTTAGACTCTACATTCTCAAGGACACAGATATTGGGGAATTTTTTACTTGTCTGTGAAGTATCCTACGCAATGTTCTACAATTATATGAACAACAAAGTAGTAAACAAAATAACACATTTTAGTTTATCTCACTTATGACTGTGAATATAACCTTTGGAAGGTGAACAAATGCAGTGAGGTCTTCCAGAAGCTACTGAAAAAGAATGAAATGATACATTTGAAGAGGAGTGAGATGTGTCTCATTCATCTCAATGGGGGTGTTGATCCTGAAGCCTAAGAACAATGCTGTCATTTGGTATGTTTATGTTAAAAATGTTTAAATAGTGAAATAGTTTAACATTCTTTATCCAACAACTATAAAATAAAATATTGCAAAAAAATGTAAAAGTATTAAGGTGGCAAGGTTTAATTACATAAATAATTACATGTTCATAGCTAAAAAGTTGTTTTATTTGGTTCTCAAAGCTACACTGCAAAAGAGGGAAAATACAGAAAATCTAGGGGAAGGCTAAAAGGCTAGAGGGGAGAGATTAAAGTTACCAAAAAAGTAAGAAAAAATTGTTTTTATAACATTACTTTATAAAGATATACATAATTTATTAAAGAATGTAGTCTTTTCTTGTGCTCTGAATTTGCTTTAAATAGAGGCCAACAAATTTTCTCAGATTTTGTAAAAATGTCTACAGCATCTGGGGGATAAAGAATTTAGAGTTTTTCCTTTAGATTTCCAGTGGCCAGAGCTTTAATACATTAAAGGGTAAAGCTAGCAGGGTGGAGATTAAACAATCTGATTTTGAACTATTCGGAGGCTACATTCCTTTAAGCTATATGTGGTACTTTCTGAAATCTGAAACTTTTACATTCAAAGCTTTGTCATACTTCTTGGGTAGTAAACGGAGTCTTAGGTAGGTAAAGATCTATCTGAAAGACAAACAAGAAATGACTAAATTACATACATTTTTATTTACTTACTTAACACCATATCTGTCTCTAAACATGATATGATCCCTATATGTTCGATTTACATCAAGATCGATTTGCCTGATATCTGGTGAAGACCCTCGTGCTCGATGTTTTAATTTCTAGGAAAAATGGCAATAAAGAAATGAAATTAGGCAGAACTCTGTGGACGTTTAAAATAGGAAGAAAAACTGCTTAAGGCCACAGAATTTATTGGTGGACAAAAACATTTGTAATCTGTGAACTTACAATGCTTATTATAGAAAATGATGGGGAAGCAAAGAGAAGCAACGCAGGAGTTGGGGGTGGGGACACACATGGGCATAATTGGGGGGGCACTGCCCCCCAACAGAGACAAGGCATGGGCAGGCACGCAGGGTCACATGCCACTACCCCCCCCTCCCCACCACCACCATTTCTGTGAGCGCAGAGCTGCCCGGCTGAAGGAAGTTGGTGTTCAAATGCTGCCTCCTGGATCCTAGTGCTGGGTGTGCTCCCCTTCTGTGTGCTGGGAGCCATTCTATTTTCTGTATAAACAGTGAGTGCCCATGATGGGGCAGGGCAAGGGGGGGCGGATGTGGGAGGGAGGGGAGAGGAAAGAGGGGTGGGACGGGGGCAGTGGAGAAGGGGGATGGGATGGGATGGAGCAGCAAAGGGGATAGGAGAATTGGGGGGGGGGGGAAGTGGGAGCCCAGCATGTGGCATCCCCTCAGCTGCAGAAGCAGCTGGGGCTCTCCCATTAGGCAGGCCTATTGAACTCCCACTCCCCAGGAGCACTCCAACAAGTACGCTGCACCCAGACCCCATCCCACCAAGACCCACTCCCCCAGCACCTGGACTCCCCTGCTGAGCCCCAACCACCTTCACCTGGACCCCCCTGCAGTCTCATTGCCCCTGCACCAGAACCCCCTGTCAAGGTTCCTTCCCCACTCTGAACGCTAGGGTACAGATGTGGGGACCTGCATGAAAAACCTCCTAAGCTTATATTTACCAGCTTAGGTCAAAACTTCCCCAAGGTACAAAATATTCCACCCTTTGTCCTTGGATTGGCCGCTACCACCACCAAACAAATACTGGTTACTGGGGAAGAGCTGTTTGGAAACGTCTTTCCCCCCAAAATACTTCCCAAAACCTTGCACCCCACTTCCTGGACAAGGTTTGGTAAAAAGCCTCACCAATTTGCCTAGGTGACTACAGACCCAGACCCTTGGATCTGAGAACAATGAAAAAGCATTCAGTTTTCTTACAAGAAGACTTTTAATAGAAATAGAAGTAAACAGAAGTAAAGAAATCACCTCTGTAAAATCAGGATGGTAGATACCTTACAGGGTAATTAGATTCAAAACATAGAGAATCCCTCTAGGCAAAAACTTAAGTTACAAAAATGATACACAGACAGAAATAGTTATTCTATTCAGCACAATTCTTTTCTCAGCCATTTAAAGAAATCATAATCTAACACATATCTAGCTAGATTACTTACTAAAAGTTCTAAGACTCCATTCCTGGTCTATCCCCGGCAGAAACAGCATAAAGACAGACAGAGACCCTTTGTTTCTCTCCCTCCTCCCAGCTTTTGAAAGTATCTTGTCTCCTCATTGGTCATTTTGGTCAGGTGCCAGCGAGGTTACCTTTAGCTTCTTAACCCTTTACAGGTGAGAGGAATTTTCCTCTGGCCAGGAGGGATTTTAAAGGGGTTTACCCTTCCCTTTATATTTATGACACCCCCCTTCCCCCATGAACCCCTGTGCATCCAGACACCACTCCCCGCCCCGGATCACCACTGAGCTGCCCATACCCAGACTGCCCCACACAGAACCCTCTCACCACACACTTGGATCCCCCCCACACTAAGCCCCTCTACACTTGGATGCTGCTGAGCTGAGCCTGCCTGCCTACACCTGGTGCAGAGAGGCAGGGCCCTGCGGTGTTTCTGAAGCAAGCCCAGCCCCTGAGCTGTGTCAGGGTCGGGTGCAGCCTCACCACCGAGTCCCTGTCCCGGGGAGGTGGAGAGGTGGCTGCAGAGTGATCTCCCAACTCCATGCAGCCAGTGGCCTGTGCTCCCCACTGCCATGCTGGAGTCTCCACAATTATTTATTGACAAATAAAATTTGCAGAATTTTTATTTTTTGGTGCAGAACTCCCTCCGGAGTATAGTTTTCAGTTTCCCAACTTTGCACATAGCTGGCACCTTTCCAAATTGGATGATGACTTTTTTCATGATTATTATGAGAGGTCTTGATAAAATCCTACCAAGGCAGAAAAGGATAAGTGAAGACTGCTATGACAGCATTATGCTTACAGGTTTCATTGTTTTACTTACTGGTCTGGCCCTTTGGCAATATCTAAGTTCGAGATTGGGTTTCTTTGTTTGTTTTGTATTTCACTTCTCCGTATGTTTTTTGGGTTGAATTGTATAATCACTTTACAAGTTCCCAATACAATTTTAAATTTAAGATATATTGTAGGATGGGAGGTGGATAGACCATGCTTCTGCGTCTACCCCGTTTTGGGGGTTAGACTGACAATCATAACCAAAGAACTCCAAATATGTCCTCACTTCCACACTAGAAAAAGGATCTTCTCCTATATCTTATATGTATTTGTCACAGAATAGGTCTCCTCCTTGTTTGGCATTTTCCTTAATATTTTCATCTTTGTCCTCCAAATGCCTGATACACCACAGTAACTGAACCTGTACTATATATATGATAGTCTACCAAAAAGCTATTCTTATGTCTAGGCATACTTTCTATGTAGATAGTTCCCCCATCACAAATTTCTGTGACTAGCTTGTAAATTCTTTTAGATTTATATTTATAAAAGGCATATTGATTCTTGTGTGAATTCAGCAGAACCTCACTTATCCATATTTTATGTAAAATTACTACCTCCATTTCTCAGCAAAGATTTAGCAACAGATAGCTGAAATGGGTCGCAAAAGCCGAAGACTTAAAATATGTTTACACAAAAAACCCTACAGAAATGTGCTTTACGCTATTAGAACATTGGCTAAGACATTATGAAATATTATAATAAAGTAAAATACAGTTGTCAAAATAAATCAATAAAGCACATTTCATGACATCTAGCTTTGCTTATTTTTATTGTGTTTGTTCTCTTAAGTTCTCAAAATTCAGAAAATTGCAATATTCTCCCCAATAATTACTGCAAACTAACAAGGTTCTGTTTTATAAACATTTGCAGAGCACTTCACACCTTCAAAGTGCTTTACAAACATTAAATTAATTCATCTTGGTTATTCTCAAAGCTTGATTTTAATGGTTTTCCCTCTGACCAAACATTCAAATATATAAAAAGAAAAGGAGTACTTGTGGCACCTTAGAGACTAACCAATTTATTTGAGCGTAAGCTTTCGTGAGCTACAGCTCACTTCATCGGATGCATACTGTGGAAAGTATAGAAGATCTTTTTATACACACAAAGCATGAAAAAATGGGTGTTTACCACTACAAAAGGTTTTCTCTCCCCCACCCCACTCTCCTGTTGGTAATAGCTTATCTAAAGTGATCACTCTCCTTACAATGTGTATGATAATCAAGTTGGGCCATTTCCAGCACAAATCCAGGGTTTAACAAGAACGTCCTGGGCGGGGCGGGGAGGGGAAACAGGTTACCTTGCATAATGACTTAGCCACTCCCAGTCTCTATTCAAGCCTAAGTTAATTGTATGCAATTGGCAAATGAATTCCAATTCAACAGTCTCTCGCTGGAGTCTGGTTTTGAAGTTTTTTTGTTGTAATATCGCAACTTTCATGTCTGTAATCGCGTGACCGGAGAGATTGAAGTGTTCTCCGACTGGTTTATGAATGTTATAATTCTTGATATCTGATTTGTGTCCATTTATTCTTTTACGTAGAGACTGTCCAGTTTGACCAATGTACATGGCAGAGGGGCATTCCTGGGACATGACATATATCACATTGGTGGATGTGCAGGTGAACGAGCCTCTGATAGTGTGGCTGATGTTATTAGGCCCTATGATGGTGTCCCCGAATAGATATGTGGGCACAGTTGGCAACGGGCTTTGTTGCAAGGATAGGTTCCTGGGTTAGTGGTTTTGTTGTGTGGTGTGTGGTTGCTGGTGAGTATTTGCTTCAGGTTGGGGGACTGTCTGTAGGCAAAGACTGGCCTGTCTCCCAAGATTTGTGAGAGTGTTGGGTCATCCTTCAGGATAGGCTGTAGATCCTTAATAATGTGTTGGAGGGGTTTTAGTTGGGGGCTGAAGGCGACGGCTACAGTCACCTACAGACAGTCCCCCAACCTGAAGCAAATACTCACCAGCAACCACATACCACACAACATAACCACTAACCCAGGAACCTATCCTTGCAACAAAGCCCGTTGCCAACTGTGCCCACATATCTATTCGGGGACACCATCATAGGGCCTAATAACATCAGCCACACTATCAGAGGCTCGTTCACCTGCACATCCACCAATGTGATATATGTCATGTCCCAGGAATGCCCCTCTGCCATATACATTGGTCAAACTGGACAGTCTCTACGTAAAAGAATAAATGGACACAAATCAGATATCAAGAATTATAACATTCATAAACCAGTCGGAGAACACTTCAATCTCTCTGGTCACGCGATTACAGACATGAAAGTTGCGATATTACAACAAAAAACTTCATAACCAGACTCCAGCGAGAGACTGTTGAATTGGAATTCATTTGCCAATTGCATACAATTAACTTAGGCTTGAATAGAGACTGGGAGTGGCTAAGTCATTATGCAAGGTAACCTATTTCCCCTTGTTTTTTCCTACCCCCCACCCAGACGTTCTTGTTAAACCCTGGATTTGTGCTAGAAATGGCCCAACTTGATCATCATACACATTGTAAGGAGAGTGATCACTTTAGATAAGCTATTACCAGCAGGACAGTGGGGTGTGGGGAGAGAAAACTTTTGTAGTGGTAAACACCCATTTTTTCATGCTTTGTGTGTATAAAAAGATCTTCTATACTTTCCACAGTATGGATCCGATGAAGTGAGCTGTAGCTCACAAAAGCTTATGCTCAAATAAATTGGTTAGTCTCTAAGGTGCCACAAGTACTCCTTTTCTTTTTGCGAATACAGGCTAACATAGCTGTTACTCTGATTCAAATACATGAAACTCCTCTGGAGTCAAACAACCCAGTTATTGCTTTATTTTTAAAACGTACTGAACATTTTTATTTACCACCATACTTTCTTTTTAAAGAAATCTGCCTCCAGCTCCAAGACAACAGTGGGAACCACTGCCAAAGTTTCACAAGATGAGGGCAGGATCATGAGATATAGTGCTTCAAGCTTACTTTCTGGCTAGTTATTAGTATGATCTTTCACCCATGACTGCCTCCTCCTGCAAAATGACAGGTTTCAGAGTAGCAGCCATGTTAGTCTATATTTGCAAAAAGAAAAGGAGTATTTGTAGCACCTTAGAGACTAACAAATTTATCTGAACATAAGCTTTCGTGAGCTACAGCTCACTTCATCAGATGCATTCAGTGGAAAACACAGTGGGGAGATTTATATACATAGACAACATGAAACAATGGGTGTTACCATACACACTGTAACCAGAGTGATCATTTGAGGTGAGCTATTACCAGCAGGAGAGCGGGGCGGGGGGGAACCTTTTGTAGTGATAATCAAGGTGGGCCATTTCCAGCAGTTCACAAGAATGTCTGAGGAACCGGGGGTGGTGATAAACATGAGGAAATAGTTTCACTTTGTGTAATGACCCATCCACTCCCAGTCTCTATTCAAGCCTAAGTTAATTGTATCCAGTTTGCAAATTAATTCCAATTCAGCAGTCTATCTGCTACCCAAGATCCGTAAACCTGGAAATCCTGGGGACGCCCCATCATCTCAGGCATTGGCACCCTGACAGCAGGACTGTCTGGCTATGTAGACTCCCTCCTCTGGCCCTACACTACCAGCACTCCCAGCTATCTTTGAGACACAATTGACTTCCTGAGGAAACTACAATCCATCAGTGATCTTCCTGAAAACACCATCCTAGCCACTATGGATGTAGAAGCCCTCTACACCAACCTTCCACACAAAGATGGACTACAAGCCGTCAGGAACAGTATCCCCGATAATGTCACAGCAAACCTGGTGGCTGAACTTCGTGACCTTGTCCTCACCCATAACTATTTCACATTTGGGGACAATGTATACATTCAAATCAGCGGCACTGCTATGGGTACCCGCATAGCCCCACAGTATGCCAACATTTTTATGGCTGACTTAAAACAACCCTTCCTCAGCTCTCGTCCCCTAATGTCCCTACTCTACTTGCTCTACATTGATGACATCTTCATCATCTGGACCCATGGAAAAGAAGCCCTTGAGGAATTCCACCATGATTTCAACCATTTCCATCCCACCATCAACCTCAGCCTGGACCAATGCACACAAGAGATCCACTTCCTGGACACTACGGTGCTAATAAGCGATGGTCACATAAACACCACCCTATACCGCAACCTACTGACCGCTATTCCTACCTACATGCCTCCAGCTTTCATCCAGACCACACCACATGATCCAGTGTCTACAGCCAAGCTCTACGATACAACCACATTTGCTCCAAATCCTTAGACAGAGACAAATACCTACAAGATCTCTATCAAGCATTCTTACAACTACAATACCCACCTGCTGAAGTGAAGAAACCTACTGAAGTGAAGATTGACAGAGCCAGAAGAATACCCAGAAGTCACCTACCACAGGACAGGCCCAACAAAGAAAATAACAGAACGCCACGAGCGATTACCTTCAGCCCCCATCTAAAACCCCTCCAGAGCATCATAAAGGATCTACAACCTATCCTGAAGGACGCCCCATCACTCTCATGGATCTTGGGAGACGGGCCAGTCCTTGCTTACAGACAGCTCCCCAACCTGAAGCAAATACTCACCAGCAACCACACACCACACAACAAAACCACTAACCCAGGAACCTATCCTTGTAACAAAACCCGTTGCCAACTGTGTCCACATATCTATTCAGGGGACACCATCACAGGGCCTAATCACATCAGCCACACTATCAGAGGCTCGTTCACCTGCACATCTACCAATGTGATATATGCCATCATGTGCCAGCAATGCCCCTCTGCCATATACATTGGTCAGACTGGACAGTCTCTACGTAAAAGAATAAATGGACACAAATAAGATGTCAAGAATTATAACTTTCAAAAATCAGTCGGAGAACACTTCAATCTCTCTGGTCACTCGATTACAGACCTAAAAGTTGCAATTCTTCAACAAAAAAACTTCAAAAACAGACTCCAACGAGAGACTGCTGAATTGGAATTAATTTGCAAACTGGATACAGTTAACTTAGGCTTGAATAGAGACTGGGAGTGGACGGGTCATTACACAAAGTAAAACTATTTCCCCATATTTATTCCCCCCCTCTGCCCACCACTGTTCCTCAGACATTCTTGTCAACTGCTGGAAATGACCCACCTTGATTATCACTACGAAAGGTTTCTCTCCCCGCCCCGCTCTCCTGCTGGTAATAGCTCACCTTACCTGATCACTCTGGTTACAGTGTGTATGGTAACACCCATTGTTTCATGTTCTCTATGTATATAAATCTCCCCACTGTATTTTCCACTGAATACATCTGATGAAGTGAGCTGTAGCTCACGAAAGCTTATGCTCAAATAAATTTGTTAGTCTCTAAGGTGTCACAAGTACTCCTTTCCTTCTGCAAAGCAGAAATCAAACTTACAGGTCTTCAGGGTTTTTTTTAGGGCTTGTCCGCACATGAAAATTAATCCAGAATAAAGCAGGGGGTGAATTTCAAGTGGATGAACTGTATTCCTTATTGTTTGTATGTGCTTATTTCAAATTAACTTAATAAATTTCCAAAGTGGATTAAGCTAATTCAGAATAAGGACTCATTCTGGAGTTAGTGTGCACACGCGGGTAAAAGTTCACTCCCACAAAGTTGTGTTGGTTCTGCAGGGCTAATAAGAGTAAAAAACAAAAAACAATACAAGGAGAAAAAACTCACACACAACCCCCCCCCATTACTTTTTTCACTAAATTAAACAGATAGGGCTTTGGGGGCAGGGGGAGATTCTGCTGAGTAAAATGATGCTACTTTTATAGTTATTTTTCTGAGTAGAACTGCACTTTATTTATTTGATTGATGGGGGAGGGAATTGGAAGAATTACATAAATTACAAAACCAAAAAGTAAGTGGATCAAATGCTGAGCCCCCATGGGTTTCTATTTGGCGACAGAGTTGAAAATACAGTTAAATACAATTTCTACTCCTTTTGCTACATTGCATAAAATAAAAGCTCAATATTTCCCAGCATCTAAGAGTTTGTGATTGGTAATTCTAGGGGGAAATTTTGCAAACTCACATTATAAAAGTCTTTCATTTCTTCTTTCATTTTAGGGACATCAAGTAGTAAACACCAGACTTCGCCTCTCAGCTGCAGTGGGATTCCTTTATAAATTCTCCTATGGAACTGTAAAAAGAAAAAAATAAACTGAATGCAGAACAAGCCAGAAAACCTTGAGCTGAGTGAGGGCCTTCCCTGCATCAAGCATTATTATCAAAAGAAGAAGGTCATAATATTATCAATCAGCCCTGAAGTAGTACTGGAAGTAGTTTGGCAGGTTCAGCGTGTCTAATAAATACTGGTAACTGGGATCCCTTTTGGCAGCCTTAGCAGGGAGGCCAAGGACGAGACATGGACACTGAACTATCCTCTCATTCCTGGAAGAGGCTCTTCCAGGTCAGGACGTGCACAATGGCACGACTAGTTGGAGAAACTTGCATTGCTACTGCCTGTGCTATACTTATTCCATGAGTAGAGACCTGAAGCGTTGTCAGTCTGGCCCTGTGCATAAGCACTAAGCTCATAAACAAAATCAGTTCCAAAGTAGTCCACACATAACTCGCTATTATTATGCACGGTGAATTAAGAAGTTAAAGTTTCTGAGAGGGGGAAAAAAGATAATCCAGTAGTATACTACAACTCTGAAAAATCAGTAACACTCAAAACATGTGGCACTATCCTTTTTGAAAATGTCTTGTGGGACTGTAACACTGAGGATATGTCTACACAACAATCAGGAGGTGTGAGCGCAGCTCATGTGTCATACCCAAAACAACTTTGATTTAGCTCAAAACATAGCCAGAGCAACATGGGTGGCAGCATGGCTACCCACTTGAGTATGTGCCCAGCGTCGTGGGCGGGGCTGTACATAGGAGCCTAGCCATCCCGCTGCCCCTGCTGCCATGGCTACATTGCTATTGATACTTGAGCCAGCTTTGATCTCTAGCTAGCTCGGGTATGCCTACAGAAACGGCACTCAAACCTCTTGATTGCAGTGTAGACTTACCCTGATTTAAAGTGCATGCAAGTATAAGACCATCACAAGTACAGGAAATATTACATATCAAACTAACAGATTTCAGGTCAGATATTCTGGTAACTGTCACATTTGGAGAGATCTGATCAGAGTCAACTAATAAGTAACCAGACATTTTTTCCGCTTAGCTGTGCATTATGAGTTACAAATTATACAAAAATGCATTCTTAAAGGATTTAATGCTTTTGGCTGCAGTGACAAATACTGTATGGTAGATAGTCATGATGTAACAGTATTGCCCGATTCAATGCCAATACATGTTGTGAAAGCTAGTTTTAATTATGCGATACAAATTAATTTCCCCATAGATATGTTGTTGCACTAAGACACATACAGAAAGGATGAGAAATGGGGGAGAAAGGCACCACTCAGTCCTTGTATATCTCCTTCCAATTACACAGCCCATCTACCAGCACGTAAAAGCAATGACCATGTTTTTCCATTCTTTTTGGAAGTCCTGCCTCTAAAACATTCTACTGTACTTGGGCTACAGGAAACAACACCAAAATTGTCAAACACTGGGAAAGTCCTGCATGAACCAGAAGCAAAGGTTAGATCAGTGAGGACTCATCCAACCCTCCATTGGCCACAGGATTTGTGGCCCAGTGTGGAACCCTTTGAGGGAAGGAAATGAGATAAAGAACAGAAATGGATGATACTCTGGAGCATTCTTCCCACTTACAAAACAAGTTGAATATCTGCATCAATCATTCCTGGAAACAATGCTTTTAAATGATGGTATTTCTTTGAATGCCACCTACAAAATAGTATCCTTTTGGAAATATGGTTAAGCAAGCACATGCACCTCACCCACAGCAGGTCTCAATAGCTGTGAGGTAAGCAGAAATCCCTCTGACCTTAACATAGCTAGTTTGGTTAGCAGTAGAAATATCACTAAAAGAGCAAACAATAGGCCAGTATTAAATCAAATAGTTCTGATGCTCCTATATCCAGGGCAATACATTTCTCATTCCCCTATGGAGCAAGCAGCATGTTACAGTGTTAATATACTTCAAGATATAAACCTGACCAATATGTGACTAACATAAAAATATCTTTGAATTTATATATTTTGAGTTTTTTTTAATAAATACACACACCCCATATACCCAAAGAGGAATATGTAGGCTATTGCAAATTTTAAAAAGTATATTTGGACAAATGGACTGGAGATTAAGAATGAATTGTTTCTATTTACTTTTCCATTTGCAGCATCTTATGTTGTACCCACCATTGGAGTACTTGTATACGAAAGATTTTGCTGTTATTATATCACAGAAAATCTAGACTGACTCTTACTGTGTACTGCATTTCTTCTCACCCATTATCCTAGTATATCATAACTGAAAGCATGAGACAGTACACAATATCAGCATAATTAAAAAACATAGATCTTTCTTCTGAAATTTCGTAACTGGTTTTGTAGTCATTTCATGCGGATAAAACATTGACTATAAACGAAACAAGAGGTAATTCAATAATAGATCTATTGGATTGTTTTTTAATTTAACATGCTTTGAAAGTCACAGTAGATCAAGTGACAAATTACTGCATACATAAAACATCTGTATGAATTATGATTGTAATCTAGGCAGCAATTTAAAAACAACTCTCCCACCACAAAGAGAGAGAATCTTAGTCTTATTTTCATTTCTGATTTTAACTCAAGTTTCCAGAGGTGAAAGGCTAGTAAACAAGCCACTGGGGTAAACTTTAGGCTATTTGGGCAACAGAAATCCCCATTTTAAAGATACATTTTCAAGTAGTTCAGATCTAAGCTTTAGGTTTAGGAATGTACTAGTGACACTAGGGGATTATTTAAATTTTTAAAATGCTTTCATTTTTAATAATCCAAGGACCAGAGGCCCATTCAAAAGTACAATGTGGAAAGCTAAAAAGCATGAAGAGTAGTGGCCAACTTAGAGCTTCTCAGAGATAGGGAAATTTATCACTCAATTGTCATCTCTACTATACAAGGCAGATGTACACAATCCTTCACCACTGCAAAAAGTATATGCACATCAAGCAGAAAGATTGCGATCCTCAAAAAGCTTGCTGTCTAAAGGCACAATCAGACACACTGGGGTTGTGTATAGATTTTAGCATATACATTTTGCTGCTATTATTCCATAACTTAAATTTCTACATTATTTTGTCAGTTTCATGCACGTTAAAAAAGGCCAGCAAATGCTTGGGTGAGAATTTTCATTTAAAAATTTTGGGTGAAATGTATTGCTTGTAAAAGGAATTGGATTGCCCATCTAGGAGGCTGCAATCCTCTGTTTATCCACAGAAAAGACATGGTGACAGCTGTATTGTAAGGCCTTGTCCACATTAGAAAGTTTTGCTGCTTTAACTATACTGGTATAAAGCACCTTTATATCAGCTGACTTAACTGCATCCACACTAGGGCTTTTACCAGTTTAACTATTTCAGTAAACAATCAGACCCCTAGCTTGTAAAACTTAAGTGTAGACCAGGCTTTACTCAACAAAGTCCCACCAGACGGGTTGCCACCCATCCAGTTTTCAGCTGGACAGTCCAGGTTTCAGCTTGTGTGTCCGGGTGCCATTTGACAAACCCTGATTCCCCCCCCCCCTCCTTTTTTTTTAAATCTGTGGAAACTGCTTGCTGCCAATTTGAATTTAACCCGCTGAGAGAAAGTTCACCACCCTCATAAGGAGGGGGACAGAGCCTAGCCAATCATAGCCCGGTGCCCTGCCCATCCAGCCAATCACAGCACCCAGCTCTCCCTGCCCTGCCTACTCCCAACTGGGGAAAGTTCAGAAAGTTTCTCAGCCTGGAGTTTGGCAGGGTGTGGGAACTGGCAGGTGTGCAACAAATGGGGTGGGGAGACATGCTCCCCCCCCCCTCCTCTCTCGGGTCGGCATGCTGCAAATGGGAAGCACCTTTTTCCTCTTCCTTCCACACACTCACTCTGTGTGCAAGTGGGTGGGACCTTCTTCTCTCTTAGGTACTGGTGGAAATAAGGGTAGTCTCTCTGCCAATCTGGGCATCTGTATAAATGTAGGGGGGAGTCCTCCCTTTCACCCCAGCTGTACATGCAAAAGGGGGAGTTCCCTTCCTCTGCTCTCCAGAATGGGTGTTCTAATGAAGCAAATCTCCCACTGTGTGTGTATGAAAATGGAGAAGTTCAAACAACTGTCTGTAAAGGATGTGTGGGCAGATGTACCTCAGAGGTAGCAACCCTACCGGGGGAGAGGAGCAAGTGATGGGGGCGGGGCTTCAGGGGAAACTCGTGAAGAAGGGGTGGGGCCTTGGGGAAGAGGCTGGTCAGGTTACCAGCCATTAGAAAGGTGGCAACCTCCCCTGCCCAGTCTGTCTCAGCCTTCATCTGCAGGGATAACTACCCATAAGTGAGAAAGTGATTAATTCTTCAGGGCCCATTTTCGGACACCAATTGTGGTACTTTTTGTTTGGAACTTTGGAATGATGCAGCTCTTTTCCAAATATCCATCCAACAGCCATCAGATAGTAACGACTTTCAGTAGCTATCAAACTAGTCTGGAATTGACCTAGTAATCAGTAAGTTAAAGGTCCTATCCTATTACCAGTCCCCTATATCATGCCATTCTCCTAATCAGGTGATAATTATTGCAATACAGGTGTACTTTAATAACTAGCATTTTTGACATTTCGTAACAATGTTGTTGCTTGTTTCTTCATCCATTTCCATCAATTATTCTCTTAATCAACAACCTATACACTGGAGAAAAATTTACTAACAGATCTATATTCTAAATAAACACATAGGGTTGGGAAAAGGAGGAGTGGGGAAAGGTCAGCAGGATACTGAGCATCTGCACTTAATGGACGCTCCATAATCTATACTTTGTGATACAAACTTCTTGCTGAAATAAAAACAAAACTGAATCATGGTATGGAATAACAGCCAAAGGCCTGAGCACTGCATTATTAAACAAAATACCCTTTGAAAATGAGTGACACTAAGGAAGGAGAGAGATTTGTTTTCAGGGTCTCAACAGAGTGGGCAACTCTACCACGCTATGTGCCCACTCAGGCTGAAACAACCAGCAACTAGGACAGCTCTCTGAAATCCTGACTTGAA